AGAAGGGCCAAGTTGGCAGAGGGGGGAAAGGAAGGGGGCTGAGGCTGCTAGGAATTGTGGGAGTTGAAGTCCAAAATGCCTGGAGAGAAGACCCAAGTTGGCAGAGGGGGGAAAGCAAGGGGCCTGAGGAGCCTGGTGCCATTAGGAATTGTGGAAGTTGAAGTCCAAAATGCCTGGAGAGAAGGGCCAAGTTGGCTGAGGGGGAAAAGGAAGGGGACTGAGGCTGTTAGGAATAGTGGGAGTTGAAGTCCAAAACGCCTGGAGAGAAGGCCCAAGTTGGCAGAGGGGGGAAAGGAAGGGGGCTGAGGCTGCTAGGAATTGTGGGAGTTGAAGTCCAAAATGCCTGGAGAGAAGACCCAAGTTGGCAGAGGGGGGAAAGCAAGGGGCCTGAGGAGCCTGGTGCCATTAGGAATTGTGGAAGTTGAAGTCCAAAATGCCTGGAGAGAAGGGCCAAGTTGGCTGAGGGGGAAAAGGAAGGGGACTGAGGCTGTTAGGAATTGTGGGAGTTGAAGTCCAAAATGCCTGGAGAGAAGGCCCAAGTTGGCTGAGGGGGAAAAGGAAGGGACCTGAGGCCGTGATGAATTGTGGGAGTTGAAGTGCAAAACGCCTGGAGAGAAGGCCCAAGTTGGCAGAGGGGGGAAAGGAAGGAGCCTGAGGGGCCTGATGCAATTAGGAATTGTGGGAGTTGAAGTCCAAAATGCCTGGAGAGAAGGCCCAAGTTGGCTGAGGGGGAAAAGGAAGGAGCCTGAGGCAGTTAGGAATTGTGGGAGTTGAAGTCCAAAACACCTGGAGAGAAGGCCCAAGTTGGCAGAGGGGGAAAAGGAAGGAGCCTGAGGCAGTAAGGAATTGTGGGAGTTGAAGTCCAAAACACCTGGAGAGAAGGCGCAAGTTGACTGAGGGGGGGGGAGGAAAGGGCCTGAGGCAGTTAGGAATAGTGGGAGTTGAAGTCCAAAATCCCTGGAGAGAAGGCCCAAGTTAGCTGAGGGGGGAAAGGAAGGGGGCTGAGGCTGTTAGGAATTGTGGTAATTGAAGTCCAAAATGCCTGGAGAGAAGGCCCAAGTTGGCAGAGGGGGAAAAGGAAGGAGCCTGAGGCAGTAAGGAATTGTGGGAGTTGAAGTCCAAAACACCTGGAGAGAAGGCCCAAGTTGACTGAGGGGGGGGGGGAGGAAAGGGCCTGAGGCAGTTAGGAATTGTGGGAGTTGAAGTCCAAAACACCTGGAGAGAAGGCCCAAGTTGGCAGAGGGGGGAAAGGAAGGGGGCTGAGGCTGCTAGGAATTGTGGGAGTTGAAGTCCAAAATGCCTGGAGAGAAGACCCAAGTTGGCAGAGGGGGGAAAGCAAGGGGCCTGAGGAGCCTGGTGCCATTAGGAATTGTGGAAGTTGAAGTCCAAAATGCCTGGAGAGAAGGGCCAAGTTGGCTGAGGGGGAAAAGGAAGGGGACTGAGGCTGTTAGGAATTGTGGGAGTTGAAGTCCAAAATGCCTGGAGAGAAGGCCCAAGTTGGCTGAGGGGGAAAAGGAAGGGACCTGAGGCCGTGATGAATTGTGGGAGTTGAAGTGCAAAACGCCTGGAGAGAAGGCCCAAGTTGGCAGAGGGGGGAAAGGAAGGAGCCTGAGGGGCCTGATGCAATTAGGAATTGTGGGAGTTGAAGTCCAAAATGCCTGGAGAGAAGGCCCAAGTTGGCTGAGGGGGAAAAGGAAGGGGGCTGAGGCAGTTAGGAATTGTGGGAGTTGAAGTCCAAAACACCTGGAGAGAAGGCCCAAGTTGGCAGAGGGGGAAAAGGAAGGAGCCTGAGGCAGTAAGGAATTGTGGGAGTTGAAGTCCAAAACACCTGGAGAGAAGGCGCAAGTTGACTGAGGGGGGGGGAGGAAAGGGCCTGAGGCAGTTAGGAATTGTGGGAGTTGAAGTCCAAAACACCTGGAGAGAAGGCCCAGTTTGGCTGAGGGGGAAAGGAAGGGGGCTGAGGCTGTTAGGAATAGTGGGAGTTGAAGTCCAAAATCCCTGGAGAGAAGGCCCAAGTTAGCTGAGGGGGGAAAGGAAGGGGGCTGAGGCTGTTAGGAATTGTGGTAATTGAAGTCCAAAATGCCTGGAGAGAAGGCCCAAGTTGGCTGAGGGGGAAAAGGAAGGGGGCTGAGGCAGTTAGGAATTGTGGGAGTTGAAGTCCAAAACACCTGGAGAGAAGGCCCAAGTTGGCAGAGGAGGAAAAGGAAGGAGCCTGAGGCAGTAAGGAATTGTGGGAGTTGAAGTCCAAAACACCTGGAGAGAAGGCCCAGTTTGGCTGAGGGGGAAAGGAAGGGGGCTGAGGCTGTTAGGAATAGTGGGAGTTGAAGTCCAAAATCCCTGGAGAGAAGGCCCAAGTTAGCTGAGGGGGGAAAGGAAGGGGGCTGAGGCTGTTAGGAATTGTGGTAATTGAAGTCCAAAATGCCTGGAGAGAAGGCCCAAGTTGGCAGAGGGGGAAAAGGAAGGAGCCTGAGGCAGTAAGGAATTGTGGGAGTTGAAGTCCAAAACACCTGGAGAGAAGGCCCAAGTTGACTGAGGGGGGGGGGGAGGAAAGGGCCTGAGGCAGTTAGGAATTGTGGGAGTTGAAGTCCAAAACACCTGGAGAGAAGGCCCAGTTTGGCTGAGGGGGAAAGGAAGGGGGCTGAGGCTGTTAGGAATAGTGGGAGTTGAAGTCCAAAATCCCTGGAGAGAAGGCCCAAGTTAGCTGAGGGGGGAAAGGAAGGGGGCTGAGGCTGTTAGGAATTGTGGTAAT